CCAAGGCGCCGGCCAAGAAGGCGAAGGCCACGCGCAAGCTGAGCTTCGCCGACGAGGTGACCACCTCGCCCGTGCTGGGGCTGCGCATCAAGGAGGAGGCGCCCGAGGGCCGCGCGGCGCCGGGGCCGCCGTCGGGGCGCACGCCGCTCGGCGAGTTCATCTGCCAGCTGTGCAAGGAGCAGTACGCGGACCCGCTGGCGCTGGCGCAGCACCGCTGCTCGCGCATCGTGCGCGTCGAGTACCGCTGCCCCGAGTGCCACAAGATGTTCAGCTGCCCGGCCAACCTGGCCTCGCACCGCCGCTGGCACAAGCCGCGGCCCGCGCCCAGCGCCGCCGCCGCCGCGCCGCCGGGCAAGGAGAACAGCCCCGAGCGGCGGCCGCGCGGCCCGCGGGGCGCGAAGCGGCTGGAGAGCGGCGGGCGAGAGGGCTCYAGCTGGGGCTTTTTCCTTCTTTACAGCCGTTCGAGCGCGATCCGGGGTTGCAGGTGGCATCGCCAGTGTCTGTGGAGGAGACCCCTAACAAAAGGCAGGGGGTGAGAGGCGTAGCGTGCAGGGCCCTAGTGAAACGAAAGCAATAAAAAACTTCCCCCCCCCCAAAAAAAAAAACAAAAAAACCCCACAAAGGATCGTTCTCCTGGTGGCAGCAGAAGCCGCCAGAGGGGGCACAGACACGTGGTCGTGGTGGAGTCTCCCACGAGCTGCCCCATCCCACCTGGGCCAGGTGCTGCGTGAGAAGCATCGACCCAAATCCGGCTCCTGGGCGGCCGCTGCTCCGGATCCGCCCCAGAAGGGGCGCAGAGGGGGCAGCCCCTGAGCCCGGCTGTGCGGGACGGCAGCCCCGGCCTGCCCTGCGCTCCGCGTCGGGGCGTGAGCCGAGCACCGAGGCTGTCCCTCTGTCCCTTGTCACTAACGTGGCCGTGGATCTGCTCTGCAGAGGGGCCTCGTGTTTGGTCGTGTGTCCGTCAGGCTCTGCACGCCGACAGCTGATCACGCAATAGCATTGATACAAGAAAAGGACAGAGAGGAATGTAAACAGCTCTGCAATTTCCCCATATATATATATATATTTTTTTTTTGAGGAACTTATTCGTAGTCATCTCTGTGACTGTCTGTCTTATTACCCTCCATTTCACAACAAGATACTACCGTTTCATGTGATGGGAAATCTGCCTCGTTGGTCTTTGCAATGTTGCTTCCTGAGAACGTGCCCTGGTTTTGCTCAGGGTGCAGTGAGCGACTTGCTAAGACGCGTTGACTTTACAGAGTAGGAAAATAACCAGAGGGATGGATTCAAAGGCAATGGAAAGACTCCTGGGACAGGATTAATCACATCTAAGTTTAGGCAATCCAGTGTAGTCATCTGTGTGTGAACTTATTGTGCAGACTCCCTTTACGATGTGTGGAATTGTGACCATTTAAGACTTAGGTAGATTTATCAATTTAACTATTTTCTCTAGGATGAGACAGGTCGCCTCCTAGAAGTACCTCTTTTGCTGTGGATGGATACACTTGATTAAATAGAGGCTATTGGAGAGCCTGACCATAACATTTGGTCAGGCTCTCAGGTGCTTAATTTTAGATCATTCTCCTTAATACAGTATGTTGAAATACATATTTCAGATTGCAACTGTAATAAAAGCTCATCATTCACTTSAGCTTGTATTTTTGATTAGTCACTGAGTAGCCTTTATATTGTACGTCCTGATTTTTGCTTTTTGTATTCTGATCTCTTTATATATATTATTAGAGTTAYATCTTTGTTTCTGCCTGCCTGTTCAGACACTCTCAGCAGAGGTTGATGTTGGTTTCAGCATGAGCTGGAGTGATTCATTAATTAACACTACAAGAGAAAGTGTGAAATGCACCAAATACTGTGAATTGCAGCAAGTGAGAGGGGTGGTAGATTTGACCTCACTTCTAGTTAAGATTTTGGGGCAGACTGGTTATTTCAATATAATCCTGATTTTTTTTCCCCCTGCTGCTAAGTCTTTCTCTGTGTCAAACAAGTCAGTGAAAGAAACATTACCCAAATATTATGGTTTACAAAAAAAACCCCTTTCCGGAATTGTGTAAAGTCCAGGTGGCTTCATGACATCTGAAGAGGAAGGAGAATTGCTGCTCCCCAACAGAAGAATCACAGTCCCCATCCTGCTCTGTTCAGTCTGGCAACATCCAGGAATTTATATATAAACACAGGCTTACTCCCATACACCAAAGTGACCTGCAGTACTAAAAATGAGCAGCGGTATCAGCCTCCAGAGCAGTCACCCGAACCTAGAAACAGGMACAGCATTTTGATTTCAGTGTATATCTCCACTTACCTTAGATGCCTGGGTGGCAGCAAAAGGCTTAATTGTTCTTGGACTCAAATTGATAAGCCRTGAGAATCCATTAGTTTGGCCCATGTTGTTTCTGTCAGCTTCTGTGCAGCTATGTGTGTGTTTCCTCTGCGAGGCTGTGGGGTTCGTTTCAGCCCATGTTCATGTTAAGCCATGGATACCTGTGAGAATTGCTGCTAAGATAATTTTGCCTGACCTCTATAATAGACTAAAAACCAGTAATCCTGTTGGTAGCTCAAGAATGCCACTCTGAAAAATAGATACAGAGATCTTTGTTGAGGTAAAAGGCAAAGAAATACAGAGTTTCTAGATGGCAGGATCTTGGTTTTACAGTTTGTAAAAAGTCATCTAGCTAAAATCATAATACATCTATTATATGGAGGATCAGGAGGTTGCTTTTTTTAAATTCCATTTCATCCAGTTCACGTTCTCTAGTTTAGCCAGTCTAGCCCAATCCTTGAGTCATTTGGATTGCACAGCGGTTGCTGTGCCTATCAGAGAGCTGTCTGATGCACTGGGTGCTCTCAGGATCTCTCTACTTTTGTACCTATTTTTATGTATGTATTTTTATTATTTTTAAACAACAGAAGCAGAATGACTTTGGGACAAACTTGCCTTGCTGCCTTCAGCTCAGCCCACACGGCGGGGCCRCGTGGGCGCTCGCGGGAGCGACACTGCGGCAGGATGTGGGCTCGCCTTGGTGCACGCACCGCAGCGCTTGGGGCTTTGCTGCACCTGGCCTTCGTGCAGGAAGGAATCGAGATGCCCCTCACTGACCTTTTCTTTTTTTTTTCTCTTCTTTTTTCTTTTTTAGCGTTTGGAGGCTGGGCACATTATTTGGGAGGATTTGGCACAGTTTGAATATGAAAATTTTGTTTGTTCAGTTCTGTTTTCACCATRACAATGAACGTAGAGACCTTTTTTGTCTTCCCCCTCTGGATCTGGTAAAAGCAGGCAATGCCACAGAGYTGCTTGACTCCAGATTTCAAGGCCCAGCTGTGTGGCTGATTCTTGGCCCCAAAGAGCTTTAACTCYGCTTATTCTCAGAGCCCTCCATGACAGAGTCCTCTGCCAGGTTTCTTCCCCGCTTCCTTCACGTGTTCTAGAATGTGCATGGAACTGACCTTGGTCAGCTGAGGTTTCTGATCCTTTCACTTTCTTTCCTGGTAGAGGACAAGAGCCCTCACAGCTTTGCTGAGGGCTAGTTGTAACCTGCAATCTTCATCTTCAGCAAGAGCTCCAGTTGTTCAGAGACATTGCTGCAGAGAAGGACACGAGTCTTTTCCTTTTGGTTTAACCCAGAATGTCCTTGTGTCTGTGGCTAAAGCCTCCTGCTGTCCTGGAGGATACACACACCCTGGACTCCAAATCCATTCTTTGCAGATACAGACTAATTTGGAGATGGTGTCATCTTAAGATTTTTCTCATCTGCTGCTTTCAGTGCCATGTGTTTCACTGTGACACGTGCTTATGCGGTAGCCCGTATTAAGGTATATTTGTGTGTTGTGTCTTTTAAGCTAGACCAGGTCAGTGGTGTGTTTCAAAGTGTGGTTCATTAGCCATCCTGCTGCTCTGAACTCGAACTAATGCAGTCCTGCCTTTCCTTCCTCTTCTGGTGGTTTCCCTTTCCCTTGCCTTCATCCAGGCCTGCAGGGAGCTCCAGTCCCAGTGCAGAGGAAAGGCAGAAATATGGGACAAGGGGGCTCTGATGAAGATGTTTTTATGCAGGGTTTGCCCCTCCTGTTGCCCCTCCCGGGGAAACTGGGGCTTAGCTGAGCTCCATCCTGTTTTTTATACAACCAAGTTTAGAAGTTTTTATCTTTTCCTTTAAGTTCCCTAATTAAGTAGTGTAATTCATCTTGCAACACTGCACTCAGCCTTGATACTCCAGGGATAAGAGACAAGGGTTTCATTGTTTATATTTGTAAACCTTGTTATTTTGACATCTTTCTTAAGGTTTCATAACCTTATAACAAAATGCCTTATTTCTGCAATACTCATTTCAAGTTATTTACTTTCCTATGATGCAGTATTGTCTCTAATTCCCAAACTGGACTGTGCTTGGCAGTGCCCATAATCCATCCTCTGGCGTGTGTCAGTGCCAGGATTTGTGCTCTGCGTGGTTTATCTTTAGATCTTCTATGTAGCCTGGGCCAGAGAGGAGACTGGTCAAGCCTTGTCAGGGTAGTCTTAAGGATATTCGCTGGCAGGGATGATCCTTCCTTATCCCCCTCCATTTAACCTGGCAGACACCCAGGGGACATGTCAGTGTGCTGTCAGTCCCCAACTAAGGAATATGAGTTCTTACTGGAGTTTTTTGTCTTACCATGCTGTCCACAAGCCCTCACCTGCCTGCCATACAGATATGGGATAGAGGAGATGATTTGTGTGAGAAGTTCTTTTCCCCCCGCTGTAAGTGATGATGATCCTGTTATTACTTAAGGAAGGTGCTTGACTTTTAACTTCTTTGTTGATGTGGTCTCCTGTCAGCTCCAGAAGGAGGAGAGCTTGGGATACTGATTATTAGGAAGATAAAGCTGAGAATGGGAAGGAATTCCTGTTTCTTTAATGGTTACTTAGTGCAACAGTTACACGTTTTTAATGCACTAAAAGCAGACTGGGGCAGTACCATGTTGTTATTTTGTCATTACATCTGGCTCTTGTCCACAGTAGTTTAGTCWTGTGGATGTCTGGGAAGTGATGGATGGTGTTGATGTACTAACTTTATTTTTTATATTTTGTTTTTCAGTTGCTCAGAGTCATGAAAATACAGAAAACTCATCAAGTGCTGAAATTTGTCATACAGTGACGAACAATAGCGTGCAAGGTAAGACTCCTGGCACTTTGGTTGCTATTCCTCAGTAGCATCCAGAAAACATCTATTTTTGTATGTTTTAAACTATCCTTGTAATAGTTTGCCCTGTTCGTTTGTCAATACCTGTTGTGCAGAAGGGAGCACATGACTATTCCAAGCCAAAAAAGAATTATTCAGGAGAAACTGATATACAGTGGAGAGTAACTTGATATTTAGTACCATTAAGTCTTCGAAACAGCAATATGTTAATTCCTTGTCAGAGTGAGAAAAGAAATAAAATGGAGAAAGTGTCTATTTAGAAATACCTGCAAGCATCAATTCAAAATTAAGAACAACACTAGCTCAAGAAGTTGCTAGACTCCTAGTTGTTAGAAAAGAATTCAGGGCACATGTTTATTTGATTTTTAATGTGAAAATATATTCAAGGTCCACAATATCTGTGTTTATAGATACAGTAGAGGTTTATTTCTTAGCATAAGAGAAAATGTTGACCTGTCTTATGCCTAACAGACTTAAGCAATGTGTGGTAGTTAAGCTATCCATGACATTCTTGAGTCATGTTTTTCTCTATACTCCTTCACTCCTCTYGTTTGCTGATGATGAACAAGTGGGATGTTTTTTGAATGCTCTGCTTGTTGACTCACTCTGTACATGTGTTAACTGTGTGACTGAMTCGCACCTACATTCCTGGCAGCCCACCTGGTTTCACTGCTCCTGCATGAGCATGCAGCCTGCATCCAGCGCTCCCAAGGTCACAGAAATAAGAAATAAGCACTCGGAACTTGGGGAAAACTCAGACTTGTGTTCTTGGTACAGTGTTGGGTCAGTGTGGGAAGAGTTCAGCCCCAGGCACATCCATGGCTTACGCTGGTGTAAAAATCAGTATAGCTAAGAAGAGAGTCTTAGACTCTAATTTAATCTGCACTTAATATTCCAGGTATCTCAGTATAAGGGTTGTCTCCAGTACTCCCAACACAGGGTCCCTACTTCACATGGCAGAGCTGTGTGCCTGGTATGAGCCTAGCCTGTAACACAAGTGCAGCAAATAGAAGAAGGGGGGAAAAAAAAGGGAAAGAAAAAAAAGTTTGAGGAGCAAGAAATGAAACTGAAATAGAGAGAAGAGCTGCACAATCCATAATGAGGTCAAGAAMGTCATTGTGAATCTAACTAGTGCAGCAGCTGAAAGCTGAAGAGAGCAGAGAGAGATGTGGAAAAAAACAGATGTAGACTGTGTGGGTAGCACTGTKCCTATAATGTAGCCTTGTGTCTGCTGCACTGAAATGTGGAAATATTTTGCAGAGGATAAAACCATCTGCTTTAGGTCAGTGCACTCCTTAYTTTGTTATCACTTGTGGCTGGCACGCATGGATGTCCTTAAGAGAGTATTGTGCTTCAATTATAGCATGTTCATGATGATAGTAATTCTTTCATGTTTTCTTCTTGTATTTGAAGGGAAAAAATGCTCATCCAGTCTCGTTGCCTCAACCACACAATCTACAGCAACATCTCTCGCAGGTACGTATCTGTTCATCTGTCCTTTGCTATGAACATAGAAGCTACTACAAATTGTATAGAAATAGGATCAAAAATGGGTATTTGAGAGAAGCGTTATCCTCTCATGAGACTGAGAGGAAACAGGGAGACTGAGAGGAAAGCCCTGGAACAGGCTACCCAGAGAGGCTGTGGAGTCTCCTTYTCTGGAGATCTTCCAAACTGGCCTGGCTGTCACCCTGTGCTCTGTGTGTCCCTGCTGAAGCAGAGGGGTTAGACTAGATGATCTCTAGAGGTCACTTCCAACCTTAACCATTCTGTGAAACATAAGAAATAAGTCAAAAAGGAAATTGTACTGTTTTCAAGTTTAGGTAGGAGCTATGCAAGAAGAATTGGAGGATTTTATTTTGTTTTGATTTTTAATGATCTTGGTCTCTAAGCAAACTTCTTACGTTTTCATGGAGTAGAATTTAACAGGTTATTGTGCACATAGGGCATATCTGTGCCTACTATTTCATGGTTAATAATATAGGGTGTAATAGACATGAATGTTCCGGTTTTGAGAGAAAAAGCTCCGGTTTTGAGAGGAAAAACTCTATTTTCTTTTAGCTAAGACTCATGGCACCCTATAAAACAGAGCATTGCTCCTAGCACAAAATGCTGGAGTTCAAGCAAGATGTTAGCAGCAGCGCTAGTGGGTTTTGTTATGTTGTTTTGATATTTCTGTTTTTCTTTCACACCTTAGCAAAAGAATTGTCGAAGTGAATGCAGCTCAGGCAGTGTTGTTGGAGTTGTGAGGCTTCAGCTCAACATATCTTTATAGAAAGAGGCAATAGCTTTATTAGATCAACTAACAGAGTCTGAAAGCACGTTTTAATTCTGATAGACAAACAGCTCTTCCACTTGAATTCACAGTATTCCAGGCTTTGACTGTGTCAGTGTGAGATTATTAAAAAAAGGAAACTAAGGGGCAGGGTAGAAAAAGCATTACCCCGCCCTCTGCAAAGCAAGGAAAAGGTGCAGTTCTTTACTGCCCTGTGTGCRCTGTGCCAGTTGAGGCATGTTGAACTGGTAGAGCAGAGAGGTGAGATTTTTGTAATGCACTTGTTGCCCGAGGCCCTTCCCCATGTTTAAAGGCACTGTTAAACACAGGTGTTGTATCCACCCTCCAAATAGTTTGTGAGTCTTAAGTTTATTTTAGAGGTCTGAGCTTTACTCTTTCTAGATAATAATAGTAAAAATAATAAAAATATGCCCGAGTCCTTTACTATTCTTCACTGTGCCAGCCTAACAGATGATGATATGCCTTATCTCACACAATTCAAGTCATATCCTTTTCCCTTCCTTTCTTTCTTTTCCTTATTAGATCATGTTCATAAATCAGACTTTTGTTGATGTGTGTCAGAATAAAGATTACTGTATTTATATTTCATTCTGCTTATAGCCTTTTTTGGGGGAGTGTGGATTGCTGCTTATGGCAGAAGTAAAACTGCCTGTTGTTTTATTGGAGAAAGCTTTTCTATCAAAAGGAATTGTCAGATTATTTTGTGGAGAGCATCTGACAATTGTATGTTAACATGGTGCTTAAAATTGTGTGTTTTGAGTTGATAGTTGTGCTCTTGCTTAGTGAGTTAGAATGTAAGGGAATATTGCATAGCTCTAAAAATTCCTGTCAAATTTACACTCTACATATGGCTTGATTGACAGGATAGAGCATAACTGTTTAATCTTTAAACACATATAATATAAGTATATATTATATGTATAAGTATAATATAAGTATAATGGGAACATATACATATGTTATACATAACATATAAGTATAATGGGAAGTAGAATAAGTGGGGTGTCTTTTTGTTGTTTGTTTTCTTGTTGTATGTTGCTGTGTGGGTTGTTTTTTTTTTTTTAAGAAAAGTCATAAATCTGAACTATGCTACTGGCATGTGTCCTTTTTAAAGAATAAAAATCAGCCGTCAGTCTGAGTTTGTTTAACATGATACTCTGTGAAGCCCAGCTGGGGTTTGAGGAGAAAAGTATTAGGGAAATAAAAGACAAAGGGGCAGATGTTACTAGCAAATGTCCTTTAATCTGGAGTCTGGCAGAGTGCTGTGGATAAGACTGCTCAAAGACAGAGGAGAAGCCATTGGTGCCTGGCTCATGTCAGCTTCCCTAATTCCCCACATGCCTCCCAGTGCCTCCCGCTGACGTTTTGAAGTGGTTGGTGTAAAGTACATTGCAAAAGATAAGTCTGTAGAAAAGTAACCAGCTTTTAGTATAAAGGTTTCATTAYCAAGTGCTGTAATCTTGATAAAATAGGAAAAAAAGGGTCTGTGGGTGGAAAGAGAGGGGAAAAGTAACGTGCAATTCTGCTAAAGCTCCTCATGCCGACAGCTTGGGTACTTTTTGTGCTGAGTCGGTTTTCTGCGCAGTGGTTTAATGCTCATGTAGCAACTACCGCTTTTTGTAACACCGCTCGTTAAAATTACACCTGGAAGCATTAGCTGTTAAATTGCTTAGAAACATGAGCCAGTCTGGCACTTAGAAAGCGTATGCTTTGTTGACACATGAATTTAAATCTGTCTTTTTTTTCTTTCTCTTGGTATCTTTAATATAAGTSTCCTTGCCACTGACGTGCGATTTCATCTCAGAATTATAGATGGTTTGCATATAGATATCCATATTTTACCTGTTTCCTGCAGTCAGGAGTCATTTGATATTTATAGATAGCTCTGCCTTTGGGGGGGGGGTTGCTGTTGATATCAAAACGTGCGCTGAATTTTTCAATGTATTTTACACATGCTTCCTAGAGGAACTGAATTTCCTAATTGTAACAAGGTAAGCATGAGTGTAGTGCTCTAACTGTTCCACTGCAATGAGTGTTTCTTTCCAAGTATTTCCTAGGGTTATGTCAAAATACAATAATATTAAAGAATGAGGAAATAAATAATGCTTATCAAGGAGACTGGCTTTTTTTTGTTTGTTTTTCAATTTTAATGTTATATATCTCAGAAAATTGTTTTCTACGAGTTCCTTTTTGACAGCTTGCTTTGTCTTAATTGTTATTTCTRTTTTTGGTGTTCAAATCTATGCTGGAAACAGTGATTCTTAAATCTTAGCAAAGACATCAGTCTGTGGATAGCTTCTCACACTTTAAACCATGCTTTTAGGATGATCAGTTTATAGAAGCATTTTAGATAGTGTACACAAAAAGTAGAAATCGTATATCAAGTTTACTGATGAAACCATTTTTTCTTTGTTCTACTTTCATATGGTTTCAAGAAAACGGGTATAATCAGACATTTGAATGGTTTGAAGTAAAAATCTAGATGAAAAGCCTTTGTTGTGTCTGTAACCTCAGAATATAGATTAATTTTTAAGATAATGCAGAAGTAGACAGCTACAAAAGGAGCTTTTCCCTCTAAAAYGCCTCCATATCTAAAAACTAGTTGACTCATATTGTCTGCTTAGAGAAATTTTATTTATGTTTAGTTATGTGTCTCATTAGTTCCTTCTTGGAAAAAAAATATTATTCTGGTGATTATTCCAGCTGTTTGTCTTTTATTAAGGTTTTATGGATCAGTATTTCATTCAAAAGAAAATTAAAAGTGAAAAAATTGCTAGAATTTCGTTCGGGGAGAGGTTTATATGCAAAATCTGATTTTATCAAAACAGAGTAGTTATCTAAAAAGTTGAAATGTTCAAGGTAAATTATCCTTGATCTAGAGTCTTTATCTCATGTTAACATATATTATCCAAGAAAAAAAAAAAAAGACACTTGTAAAAAGTGATCAGCTTTTTGTCTGATGCTAACTGATGGGGAAAAAAAAAGTGGCCAGATAGTTTTTTTTTTTTTTTTTTTTAAGAACCATTTCTGACCTTGAGTCCTAGAAATCAGAAGTTAGGTCTTTTCCAGAAGAAACGCACAAAGGAAGAAGTTATGCTCAGGCCTGGATATGTAATGTCAAATTCATTGCTACTCTGTCTATTTTGGTCTGATAAATCTAATCTGTCATTCTGGGGCAATACCGGGAAGTTCATTTCTGTAAGGAAAAAGATATACCTAGGCCAACTTAAAAGGCTCTTTTTTATCTGCATTGCTATCAAGTTACTGTTTTATGGAAAAGTTGCATTCTGTGATTTCAAACAATTTATGACTTATCTATTATTTTGGTTTTTAATTTTTATGTAATTATGTATTCTGCTCTTCTGTTTGATATCCTTTGCCATTCCCATTTTACAGGTACCCTCCCAGCAACCACTCAGCCCACCAATGCCACCGAGCTCAGCAACACCACCCAGCCCTCCCACAGCTCCACATCTGCCCCCACTACTGCTCAGACTGTCAAAACCAGCAAGGCAGCAGCACCTACCACAGTTTCATCAGTTACATCCTCACAACCCAACGTTACGATGACCATTCACAAATTTTCTTCCACTTCTGTAACAGGTAACTCATGTAACTCTTGGCAGAGACTGAGTAGAAGACCCATGGCTCGGAATACAAGTACTTACTCAGGCCCAGTGTAGAGACTCTGTGAGCCAAAGTTGTAGCTATGAAGTGACAGTCTCAGTCTTGCAGAGACAGCAAGCAGCTGGACTAGCCGCTTGTAAACCACCATCTAGTGCTTGATTGGCTTGGTTGATGCATTGGATTGATGCTTGTATGCTACAGAAATCATGTAGTTGTCAGCCAGATCCTAAAGAAAATGAGTGAATAATATGCTGGACAAAAATTCAAGGCTTCAGTTATGGTCTTACAGCATRGCGTCATGGCTTATGGTCTTACAGCAAGGCTTCACCATGGTCTTACAATGCCATKATAGTTGGTCTTCTCCAGCTTTTCTTGATGGTACAAGTTCTTACCATACTTTTCTTTGTGTCCCTTGACAGATTTATTAATAGTTAGATCAAAGAAGTTGACTGCCAAATGAGGTGTTAGCAATTGCTTTACAGAAGAAGTGTGGAAGGATTCTTTGTTCCCATGTCTTTGTTCTTTATATGTGCAGTGGTCATCAAAGTCTGCACATAGAAACTCAGCTCTGGCTGGTACCTTGGCAGTTGATGTACACAGATTTGTCAAACTGTGTCTTTATTTAATGTGACAGTGGGGAGGGCATGATATAAAGGAGTCCTTCATACAAAATCTGCAAGCTCAGTTAAAACTGATTTGTTTTTTTTCTTGTTGTTGTTTTTTTTTCCCTTCTTTTCAGCTGCACCGAAATCTGAAGCTGTTGTAACCAAAACCTCTGGATTTGATGTGGGCAGTTTCATAGGTGGGATTGTGCTGACGCTCGGAATCCTGGTTGTTCTCTACGTTGGATGCAAAACATACCACTCTAGAAGAGGCATTCAGTACAGAACGATGTAAGTTTTAGACAGAGATTGTCTTACCAATTTATTACTGACTTGATGGGAACAGAGATGATCAGAGCAAGGAGAACAAACTTTAAAGATTTAATTTTTTTTGCTCATGAGAGGTTTTATTGTGATATTTTGTCCTTTAGTCCTTCATTATCCACATGAAATAGATGTGTGTGAATTTTTTCATCTGATCTGCTTTATAAAATCCTATCTCGAACCCTTGCCCTTCAGTTTATCTAAATTAGTATTACTGTAGTTTTGTTTATTTCCCTGGCTTGTTCAGTTCTCTCCRTAGTTCCCATATTCCACTGCAGCGACTCCCTGTTCCCCCCGCTGCCCCCTTGCCAGCCTGTGGTGAGGTTGAGCTTCAGTGTCTCCCAGACCTGGGTGCCTTCCCCTCTGCAGTGTTGCTGTTCCACAGCTGGGGGCTCTTGCAGCCTGGCCTCTTTGTGACCTGCACAGCTTCGTGGCTGCGTATTATATTGACTTCCATGAAGTCTGGTGTCAGAAGGACTTTATATGCTTGCACACGTGCATACTTTCAGCGTTACTGTTTGCTCACATATAAATTATTCTGCCTACATCAGTGCCCTTCATGTGCTGTTTGTTTACAACATTTATTTTGTGAATTATTTGCTGCGTTTTCAAGACTTCTAGTTCTTGCCGACACTCCTTTCTAGAGTCYGCTAAACTATTTACCCTCTGACATTTCCCTCTTGACATTAATATTCTGTAATAGTTCTATCTTCTATTACCTAAATGACATTGTGCTGGAACTCCTTCACCAKCTGTCTCTCATACCACTTTTTACACATCTCAAAGCCCAGTTAGAACAACTKGTTTTAAAGCTAAACATTTAATATTCAACTTTCCTAAGCCATTATTGTTCAACTGATTCATTTATTTATTATCATAGAAAGCTCTGAAAGATATTTTTGAGCACAGTATTTGACTATGAACCTTTTGTCCCACCTTGCAAGTGAGGCAGAGCAGTTGGCTGATTTCTGATATTTACTTTTTCGTTTTATCTTGTTCTCAGCTCCAGAAATCTGTGCATGAAACCATATGTAGTCAGTCTGCTTTTAGTATTTTTTACAAGTCCATGAAACTAGAGTAAGATATGGTCTTAGACACAGAAATCTGTGGTGTGTGTCCTGAAGGTATGAGCTGGATCTTACCTTAGGTCACTTTTCTGTTCAGATTAAAGAGTTTTCTCAAGTGGACTGAAACTTGAGGGTACATCCATCCACCAGCCTTTTCCAAACACTGATCTCTCTCGATTATGAGATTATTGGTAGGGAATTCTGTCTTGGATGTGATTCTTCTTTTTAGAGCTACTTACTAGTATTGCTGGTCTCTCTCTGTTCTGGTGGATTAGCTTCTGATAGCCCAGCACCAGTCAGATATTTTAGCTTTTTGTTGTGTATCTTTAGCTTCTTACTGTATATCACTCCCTTTGTAATGAGAGTTATAAAGTGATTAAGGAAATACTAATTTGTTTAGTTTATTTTACTATTTCACTGCAAAATTCTCTCGCTTGTCATTCATACTCAGCTCCACTCTGCTTTCTTCCAGGCTTGCCTCCTTGTCCCAGGCTTTGTTCAAGAACTGGAAATTCTTAGAGCTAGGTTGTTTTTCTTTCTCCTTTTTCAAACATCATCTGTGTCAGTTGCAGAAGTTTTGCTTTAACTGAGGTGATGTCCCTGGACTTGCTGGGACCTGATAGTGCTCAGGCCTTCTGGTTTTTCACCTTCTTTGAACATGTACTTGCTGGTCATGGGATTTGGGCAGTCCCTCACGCGTAGCTCCACTAATGGTGCTGCTGGAATGGGTGTTAGAGAGGCCAGATCAGCAGTATCCTCTGAACAAAAGAGCGGGCAGCTGAGCTTGTCAGCTCGCTTTGATTAGCTGATACTGTTGGATATAGGCAAGAAATGGCAGGATGAAAACGCCTCAGGAGCAGCTGTTCTAAATGCATCTACTTGAACACTGTATGAAAGCTGAAATGTGAGAGGCTTGAGGAGTGTGGAACACAGTTCCTTTCTTCAGGCTTGGCTCAGAGAGGACTGCAGTTCTCAGAGCAACCTGGGCTTAGCACTTAGAGCAAGAGAGTCTTTATTCAGGCAATAACCTCTTAGCAGCAGCTGGGTGGCTGTCCTCTCGTGCTGCCCGTGCCTTGTGCTGCAGAGCACTGATTGCTGTGTTTCTATTGCAGTGAGGAACATGATGCCATCATCTAAAGAGGCTTCAGAGAAGGCAGCGGTGGAAACCCAACCCATCACAGCTGTTGTAACTCATGCTGAGAGCTCCTATTACAGGCATGGTCACAGTCTGTAAAGCTCTGTTGGTCTGATCTTGCTGAGAAACTCTTTAAGTATTCCTTTTTTTTTTTTTTTTTTCTTACTGGCTTTGATAAGAGCAGGAGGACCTCAGCACTTTGTAGAAATAGCACCTTTTCTCCAGCGTTTGTTATCAAATTCAAAGAAATGCACACACTGTGTCACTGAAGATGTACAAGCTTGTGAGATACCAAATCAGCAGCATTATGGATAAGGTAATTAAAATTCTAAATAGCCTCAATTAAAAAAAAAAAAAAAAAAAAAAAAGGAAAAAAAAGATTTGCAGGAATGTGAGTGATAATTACCATGGATATGCTAAATAAGAGAGTCCCATTTAAGACAAAGCATAGGTGTTTGCAAGTAAAATGCAAGTTTTTTTTTTCCTACTCTTTTGTATTAAATCATATTTATTTTTAAGAGTGTTCGATTTGAGAAATTTTGGATCTAAAACAATTAAGTTCATTCTAATGCTAATGGAGGGACATGATTTGATAGCTATGCAACAAGATGATAACTCCTGTGTTTAAAATTTCAGTCACTGGTTCATCAACCTGCAGAAATTTTCTTTAGCCCTGCACACAGGGAAACTAGCTAGGGCGGATATGAGACATCCATCCACAAAAGAATCTTCTCTTGAGTGGTTTTGTTAGGAAAAAAACAGACTATATGTAATGCCTGACTTCTTCTATAGAGCATGTCCTATTGTTGGATCCAAGATAAAGGCAAAAGGGAAAAAGAATTAAGGGAAAATATTAATGACTTCCATCATGAATGGCGTTGTGCAGGGGAAGCTGTGCCAAGACGGCTCTAGCCTGAGTGTAGCCGTYGCTTCACTGTTACTGCTCTGAGACAGCTCTGTCTCATTCGGTGTTTTTGCAATTGTTTAAGCATTGGAAGTTACACAAGGAAATAGAAAAGCTGTAGGTTGTATTTTTAAAAGAACAGAGTTTCTTGCCTTTTTACCGCTCCTTTCAGCCCTGGTGCGGTGCACGCAGGTGCTCCCGAGCCCGCTGGGCAGCAGCAGCTCCCGCTGGGATGAGTCCCAGGCACCCCGGGCAGCGGCTGCCCCAGCCTGTGCCTGGGACAGCCCTGTTGGGGCTGGGGTTACCCCCTCTGTAACCAGGAAAATCAGGAGGAGGCCACAGAGCCCCCGGCTCTGGGGGCCCTTTAGATCGGGGAGCACCTGCTGGGCCCAGCGAGGCAGCCCCAGCCCCGCTCGCGCTTTGCGCGTGTTTGTTGAGCAATTGTTCATTCTTTGCAAGACTTGCACTTTCCATGAACCTTTAGAATTGCTGTGTTGGTTTTGCCTGTTTTTGTATGGGGCAATAAAAGCTGTTCAGAGGTGCAGCAACTTCCAGCATGCCCTGGTTCGGCTGAGCYGTGGGCTTCTCCAGCAGCACCAAGAGCTCACACAAGCCTGGGGCTGCACGACTGCTTGGGTTGGTGGTTGATTTTTACAGGTATGGGGGCAGGGGGATGATTTGAAGCAGATACTGTTTATTTTTGTTGTTGTTGTTTTGTTTTCTACTAGTTTTATTCTTTTGGGGAAAACTGCTGTTTTTAATTTCAACAGTTTGGAAATAATCGTTCCATAGAACTGTAGTTCCTTACTTTCTTTGTAGAAATTAGAGTATTAAGTGCAACTGATTAGAGTTGCTGGGAATGTCTCACACCTTTTGTACAGATAAATAAAAGGATGTTTTTGCTGTTACTATATAATCAGTCTGTTTTCATGATACCCCCGAAACAGCTCCCAAACAGTAAACATTATATTTGGCATTTACAGGATGCCCCTTTATACCATTATGACACTTTTTTGCCTGGTAAGTGGAAACGTTTTCTCATTTCACCACCACATCAGAGTGAAACTGTTAAGATGTCAGAGGCCTCCATACGAGGCTGACCTCCTTGTGGGTGGCTGGGGAGAGCACAGAGTAACCCATGACTGAGACATCTCGCCCTAACCTTGCATTTGCATTCTGAAAGTAAGTGAAAACCCAGCTTGAAAAACAGGAGCAAGAGTGAGCTGGTGTAACGCAGTAAAACCCTGTGTGCAGAGCTGGGCCTCAGAGCTGAACGTTGCTCTAGAGCCCTGGAYTTGAACTGAGCTGCACCCTGCTCGAGCCCAGGAATCAGCTCCATTAAATTGCATTTGGAAATCCTGACGATCAGAGTCAAGTTCCTCCTTAAAACAACTCTTGTCACTTAGCATCTGTAAGGAAAGAGTATTTCAAAGAATTTGCAGCAAGAGTCTAGACCCTTTTAGACAGAAATCAGGAACAAAATAAATACAAGAAAGAGGCTTTTGCCTCAGTGCCTGAAATCTAGCAGCATCCCAGACACCTGGGACATAACCCTCTTATACAGTAATCTTAGTACTTCCTTATGGAAGGTTTTCCAGCTTTGTCTCCTGAGTGATTAATAGTCTAATTTCCATCATAAGTTTGCGCAACACAATCTTTTAACCTAAATGGGTCCTGCCTTTCCTGACCATATTTCTACTACAGTCAGAGGTTTCCAGCTGTTTCTCTACAATATAAATGCAATCCTGCTTTCCTAGAGAGGCCCTGCAGGCCCAGCCCTGCCCTAGTGCAGATCTCGAGAGCAGATGGGGATGTTTTGGCAGTCGCTGGGCTGCGGTTCAGGCTGTTGCCTTCACTCGCAGCCCCTCTGCTGCCCCTGCGGGGAGCTGCGCTCGTAGCAGCAGCCGTGAGGCCTCTGCCCTCAGGGCCACGTGCAGCCCGTGGGCATTTTGCACCATCCCTCTGTGTACCAAAAATCCTTAAAATGTGCTTCACATTACTCCCATTTTTACTATTTCAGTTCTGAATTATTAACAAGGTTGTATTATTATTTAATAGCCTGCCCCATCTCTTTTTAAGCCTGCTTTCATAACATACTTTTTGGCACAGAGACTAAAACCCTTGCAGATTTATGCCTTTTATTTTTCTTCTTAAATTTCCTTAAATTCTTAAATTTATTAAATTTTCCTTAAATAGGGAAAAAAAATGCCAGAGAGCAAACCATTGCACAGATAATCTAGGTAAGAAGTGAGCTGCAGAAGGGAAGGAGCAGAGCCCAAGGGCAGGGGGCGAGTGCCCTGTAGACCCTGGTCAGCCATGGAAGCTGGGCCTCTGTCAGCCTCCCTGGTGGCTTTTGACCAGCCGGGCACTCCCACCACAGAGGTCCAAATGGCATCATTGGTATCAGGCCCTTCCTGTTCAAGATGTCAAAGTCAGTAACTCTGGAAATTGAAGAAATGAACGTGAGGGCAACCAACCGCTTCTAGGAGGAAGCCAAGAGGAAATTCAAGTTCTGCCTCTGCCTCTCTTCCAGGTGTTTGCCTGGAAATAGTCATTCCCTACCCCTCTGTAAGGGCAGGGCGGCCTGGAGTGGTGCTGCCTCCACACAGCACTAAGATGAAAGGCACCTCTGAAGTGTTAAGTGACATAACTCAGTGCAACCACCTGAAGCTGCTTTCATTCTCAACCTGTGCTTTGAGCTCAGGGTGACACTCAAAGCAAAGGTCCCGGCCGGAGCTGTAATCGGGGAGAGCAGGAAGCAGAGCTGGATGAGCTGGGGAGCAACTTGCACATCTCTAATTGACTTTGAAGATTGTAAATAGCCTTGGAATGACACCAAGGGAGTGAAATGTTTGAGTTCAGTACCACTTTTAGTTGCACAATAATTGCCTTAAGACTTAATTCAACTTTTACAGAGGGCACAAGCCAGCAGCCTCTGGCACTTCCTCCCCAGCATTTCTAAAGAAACTCACCCAGTGCAAAGGCCCCTGTGAGCTTGCTCATTACTGTGCAAGCAAGTTCACACTTCATGCTTGGAGGCCAAAAGTGGGTAATTTACCTTTTACAAAAATATGGTATAGCAGAACCCACTGTTATGGAGCTTTCCTCATACAAGAGACAGAAAATATCCCAGACTTGCCCCAACTCAGCAGCAAAAGATGCACTGGGACTCCAGTAACAGCAGTGATCGCTTTTTGATGCTGTGAAAGATGTGCTAAAGAATTAAGTTCTGAGAGAACATTTTCCGTCACTGCCACCAGACAGGTAAGTGGGTAAGCTTGTTTTCTTTTGTTTTTAATTGCACTAGTGGGGTCTGTAGGTGTTTCATGGCCATGCCTAGCCCCAAACAAAAGCAGTGCTTCATTATGATTGTCCATCAGCCTAATCACTTATGGACACTTGGATTGAAGGCTGCCACCAGCTGGAAGAGCCAGAGCTCTCTGTCAGTGCCGATAAGCAAACTGAGCACGGAAGGATAAGCACTCCAAACACAAACAGGAAAAGGCAGAAAAAAAATAAAACCAGCATCAAAGAACTATTCAGCAATTGCATCACCAAGGGAAAAAGAAAAAAACAAAACAAGAACCACATGCTGCTGGTGGAGCAGTTGCATCTTGCAGCATCTCAGACTATCAGAAGCCAGAGCTTCTCTGAGCTAGCTGCTTTGCAGAATGTTCCCAGCAAAGGCTTTGCCAACTGCTGTAAGCAGCAGCCATCACCCAGCATCCTGCAGCAGCCGTGACTACCAACCTGAGGTGATGAAGATGCTTCCACACAAGCCACAGAGACAGCCCAGGTGCCAGCTCAAAAGGAGCAGTGGGCAGGAGCAGCTCAACAGCTGAGTGCTCCATCAGCAGCAGAGCTACAGGGAGCCAGGGGCTGTTCAGGACCATCTCCTGGAGGACCCTCCTACAACAGGTCACCAAAAGTTTAATGGAGAATAAACTGTTCCCTCCTTGTTACATTGTCAGCACTGCCAAAATATACTTCCATAAAGCACTTTCCAAAGCTTTTACTCAGATTTTAAAGGCGTTGATCATGTTTCATTCCATGTTCAGCTAGTTCACAACAGTACTGGTCATTTGATCTTCCTCAGGTATTATAAGTCACATGAAAAAGATTTAAAAGTAAAGTCCAGATTCATTTCCCTTCATTAAGGCAACAAAGTGAAACTACCTCAAAACCAGCACTATTTTTAAGGGTATTTATTTCAGAAGGTACTGCACAGAACCACARGGCAAAGCCATGTGAATGCCTTTCCCCACTCCTTGGCACAACCCCCTCACTAAATTTGGCTGTTTACKTTAYTGGTCATGGAAGCATCCAAAAGCTTAACCAGACAGCATCACAATCATAGAATCACCATAGAAKCATWGAATGCTTAAGGTTGGAAGGGACCTCRGAGGTCATCGAGTCCAACCCCCCTGCTCACGCAGGGTCACCCAGAGCACGGGGCACAGGGCTGCRTCCARGCGGGTTTTARAGATCTCCAGAGAAGGAGACTCCACAACCCGCTTAACTCGAGCGGTCTGGCCCCCTTGGCTGGCAGCTTTAGCCCGGTTCAATTCTATAGCTGCAATTATGTAAGAAACATGCTGTTAATTCCAAAGATTATCTAAACTCCAACTGCAGGGGAAGTATCCCCAAAACCCCTCTCTGTAGGTATCCATTCAACAGGCCCAGGGATATGAAAGCAAGGGTAAAATCAGCCACTAAGAACATCACTGGATTACCCGCTTGCAAAACCAGCCAAGGCTCCAAAGGGGGCTGGAAAATGGATGCAGCTCATGCAATCATTGTAAAACTTCTAAATAATGCAGAAATTAAAAGGCTTAGAACTTATTTTAGCCGTTTTAGTAAACTGTCCTCTGCCTTGTCCAATCAAACCCACTGCTGAGCCAGGATTTCTGTTCTCTAAAATGAAGCGAGTTCCCAGTGCTGTCACTCTTGCTCCTTTTYCTTGTTGTAAGGATCTGAGGCCTCTACTTTGCTCCAGGGTATCACCAAGTACTAAGAAAACTAGTTCTCCATTCGAAATTAACAGAACTCCTAAGCAGAAATAAAATTGTTATTCTTTTCCTAACATAGTTAAAATACTTAATTCAGGAAAACAGCATTTTCTAGTTCCACAGCCTTCAGAGAAAAGCAATGACGAGTATAACTGAAAACAAACAGGCACTCACTTGCAAGTAAAAATATTTTAATCCAGTCTTCATATAAACTATTATTAATACACATTACACGAAACTCTAAACATTAGCAGAACTAAAAAAATATTGCAGCTCCTGAGTTACCCTTCCTTCCTCACACAACGCCCCRGAAAGCCAGCAGCAGGCAGGAGCTGCAGGTCACTGTCAGTAAGTGCCCCATCAGCTGCACCTCCTCCCCTGTGCGGAGGGGACTCGGGACAGGTGCCAAGCTCCATTTCAGGAACTCGGCCAGCAAATACTTTATTCAAGCTGTGTTAAGGCCACACTCGGGGAACTGCTTTGCCTGTTTAGGAAGGACAACTGAAAACTTCACCTCACTACTCAGTCAGTTCCACATACTGAAAACCTCTTTGGCAAGGAAGGTGTAGAAAATTCCTAAGGACAATATAGCTTACTAGTATACAACTGTGCTAAGCAGTTGATAAGTCATCTGCAGTAYCACAATTTTCTGTTAAGACACTGGTGGTTTAATCTTGAGTATCTGAACGCTGGCAGGAGCAGAGGTTGCTCCACAAGTGCCAGTCTCCCTTGGTCACGAAAGGAACGTGCGCACGGTGCCCTTGATCGTCCCCCTGCAGATGGGGCACTTCCTAAGGGAAGGGGCGCATTCTTTGCACACCACTAAGTGACCACATGGAATAAAAACAATGGAAACTTCTTTATCCATGCAAACTTTACATGTTCTTTCCTCTTGTAATCTCCTTAATTGTTCTTCCATAGGTAAACCTGGAAAAAGTGATTTAACATTTTAGAAGCTTGAATACATGTGCACTTTTTAATAGAATATATTCTAATAAAATTCTATTCCATGGCACACCTTACTTAGCAGTAATCAAAATAGAGGGCAGTGAAAACAAGCCCTTTTCCAGAGTTAGATGTGAAGTACAACCAACCACCTCACTTTCTAAAACAATGAGGCACCTCAAGGACTGGAGACCAGCTACAGTTCCTGAGACTAAGGTTTATATTTCAATACATACTGTACTTTTCTTGTCTGGATATTAGAAGACAAGTACAGGGACTAGTGGGAATGTAAAGGGAAGCTTATACACTTTACTGCAGACTATTAACAGTTTCAAATATACCACAAGTGTGAGGAAAGACTGGAGCAAACCCAAACCCATGACCCATCTTACTACAGCATATCTTAAGGATGGGGTAAAACTTAAAACTCMTTTCTTAACCCAAGGGCTTGATGTTTGGTTTTTTAAGAATAGCAACTGTTGTCCCTTAACACCCTTTAAGTGAGTGGAATTCAACATACCTGAAACATCTTCTGTGGGAACATATTTCACACTCTTCTCCACTAAAAGACAACAAAAAGACCATTTRGTTATTTGGCTAGTCTATATTGAAACAGAATCTTTTTCCTCCATATTTAGACTGCTCTGACAATGCAGATTAGATTTGATAAAGCAATATACTCTGAAGAGCCATACCAAATAAATCTCTGTACAGCACAGGGTCAGAGTCTCGCAGGCAGTTTCTGAATATGCTGGCAGCTGCATTTCCTTTCACCAAGACTGTATCTATCAACTCTCTTGCTTGCAGTGGTGTCTGGGTCTTTTGCTTAATAACATCATGCTCAAGTTCAGTGATCACTTTTGCTGCAAGCAGACTCCCGAGGATTGGAAACACACACGTCAAACGCTGGAATAGAGCCAGGCGATTTTTCCGGATTAGGGACAGATCATCTGAAAGACAAAGCAGGTTAGATGCTCATTAAGAAGACAGTATTTCAAAACTACATTTCTACTACTAACTGACACTTGCATCCCAACCTTTCATTTACTATGTATCATTAATAAAATCTTGAGTCTCACTGGTATTTACATGCACATGAGCTTAAAACCACACAGTAGTTCAGAAGCTGAAGCCTTCTCACCAGTGAAAGCCCCTCTCGCCTCTCAACCAAGAAGAAAAWCAGTCATGACTGTTTAATGACCATGCTCATCTCCCCTTTAATGACAGAAGCCACTTAATTTATAAATGAGAAGTTGTTACCACTTCAGTCTCAATTTTGCTTTTCACACATTGACACAAAASCACTTACACAGTCTTAAAACAGGGAATGTTAAAGATGCATTAAATAATGAGCATTAAATAGTTAAATCTATGTGGTTATGAGTTGGACAGAGAGAAGGCAACCTCCCCTCACAACATACTAAGTAAAGCTAATTTATCTTTGATAAACTATAGTAACAAAGGCACAAAAAAGCTTTTGCTCCAGTGGAGCAAAGCAGGAGAATCTGAGCACTTGGCCCCTGTCTGCACCATCCTCCTCAAAACAAAGAGCCAGACTGATCTAGATCCAAGCAGATACTCCAGCAATGCTAGCAGCAGCTAGAGCTAAATCACCCGGTGCCCAACAACTACAAAAAGTCAAAAGCAGAAGCATACAAGTCACTTGTAGATTTATTCATGCCCTGCGTGTACCTGATGCCACTTCTTCAAACTGCCTCTCTTTCTCTTCTTCCCTCTTCTCATCTTCAGCAGTGAAGAGGTCAGACACAAGATCATTAACAGTCTTGTAGTTCTCTCCAGTAGCCAGGATTTTACTTTGCACTGTTTGTTTTATCAGCCTCCTACTGAAYCCCATCTCCAAGACAGCTTTAACCACAGGCGTGTTCATCATGATTGCATCTTCTGAACGATTTTCCCCAGGTTCAAAATGAATAACTAATCAAAAAAATACAAAGTTTTAAAAAGACAATACACACCACAGGTCAGATACGTTCAACATTATCCATACACTTGTTGTTGTGTAAGTTCAGTAGTTAAAAAGACTTTTTAGTCATTAGTTTTAAATGGAAGCCAGTAACTTGGATTCAATTGAGTTGAGCCTCTGATAAGTCTTGATCAGTGCTAAGCCTTCACTAAAAGCTAAAAAAGGCAGAGTTCAATTGGATCTTTGCCTTTTTTTTAAAAATGGTCATAAGACTTCTAACCTGAGCCTCAAAAGAATCTCTTTTGATAGCTGTCAGCTCAATTAAGAGCTTGCTATGCAAACAGAACCTTTCTACTCAAGTTCTTGATCAGTATTTTCCATTCCATTTATTCAGCACCAGGCACATGAGACTGCCTTGCCACTCCACATCAACATGTCGCCATATTTATATGTAAAAACATACATATGTATGTAACTATGACCACAGTAAACTACTCACTCTTTTGGTGAGGCTCTGCTCCCACTTGAGACCAGAGCACAATGACTTTACACAATGACCTTGTCACAGCCTTTCCCTGGCCAGGGCAGCTCCGAATATTTGCTAGGCTTTGCACCCAAACTAGAGCCACAAGCCCTGCATAATGGTACCCCCCTTCACCCCAGGGAGAAGTGCTCCAGAGGTYGATACCTCAGGTCACTTCGACAAATTCCAACTGGAGTTGTGGTCACAGTGGGGTTAGCAAAACAAAACAAGCAGCACATACAAGCCTCCAAAGCCAAAAACGTTTCTGAGATCATATTATAAAAATAAGCTCTTAGAAGTTTCCAGGAAACTTGTCTRTGTAATGCTATGGCTACATAAGCATTAGGGAATGATGCTGCTGTTTCCAAGACACTCAGATGTCAATTCTGAATAGCCAAGTGTTGAGGCTGCAAAGCACAAACACTGAGGAAGTTTGAACAATGTGCCTTTCAAGTTATATTAATATACATACTTGGGGGATCAGCGTTTTCATCTACAGATGTATCCGAGGTTGATAACAACTGTTGAACATAATGAAACTGCATTAGTACCAAAGTTTCCCTTTCCCTTCCATATGCCTTTCTAGCCTTTCTGTATCTTTCTTTTCTCACCAAGTTAAGATTTTTTATCTGAATAGTAACTGTTAAGTATTTTACACTTAAATACACAAGTCTAACAACTTGTTTTACACATAACCATAATAGTCAGTGGAAAAGATGCATCTCTGAGGCAAATTTATTCATCTACCTCTTACCAGAAGAGCAATGGTTAAAAATAGAGGGCTGGGGGGAGAAAGGGGAAGGCATGGAGAGAAGAAAGGGGGAGGGATGACAGAGGCCAACTTCTAAAATAGAAATTACTGGTATTACTCATGGGAACTTACATGAATTGGAACTTCCCTCTCCTGATAAGGAGAGGGGAAGTCTCTCATTGCCCTACAATGAGTAGTACAAGGTTTGTCTGTAAATGACTGAGTGCTGTAACTCTTATATTACTATAATACTATACTACCTACTATCAATTCTCATGAAACACTCTAACTAATCCTGAATAGGGTAAGTTACAAGACTCCAACTCCATTAGGCTTAGCTCAGATTAATGTAATTTTCCTAAAAGCAGCATCTATACAGAAATTTAATACTAAAATATTTGCAGTGAGGCAGAAGAATGCACCCAACTCTCCCAAACAATACATCCATCCTACAGAACTGTTTGATTTTTTTCCCAGTTTGAAAAGTTAAGTTTACCTGTTCAAGAAGATGGGGGAACCGGGCCTGAATTTCACTTACAAACTCTCTTCCTTTCACATGAAGCAGATATTCACATCTGAAACATTAACAAGGCTACTAGTTACATTTTCCACTTCCAAGAATAATCAATACAGAAACACCTCTCAATAGCACAACAATTTAAATACATGTTTATTTAGTGAAACAGAAGAGTTCTCTACATGGGAAGCTTGAGGCAGCCTGGTTCTGAGCAATGCTCCAGTAAGGCTCATGGGTGATGTTAAGCAGCCAACAGCTTTAGGTACAAAAAAGGCCGAGAAGGCAGCAGTGACCATTTCTACTACCTCTTCTACTTGAAATAGCCTAGCAATAGCAGCAACTATTTCACTATACACTGTAATGATAAATTGACTGCTTTGCACTTGCATCATCTCACCTTCTATCTCCTACTCAAGTCWTTCAAGAGAACGCATAAAATGTCACCAAAATATTATCTGCTTAATTAATGCAGAGCTCTCGAGTATGTTTACTGACAGGAGCAATACAGAAGGAAATAAAGGTAGGTTTTAGGTCTACATACATCATGTAATGACATGATCTGCTAAGTTATTTAAAGTTATTTAAAGACTGCTGAAATACTTATGCTTAAGAATTGCTATTACCTTTCTTGAAATTATACGTAACTATTTCTGACATTCACGTAGGTGGAAATTCTCACAGACGGCCAGCAACTGCTTGTGCAACTGCCATTTAATTATGGRGAAGCGTATTCAAAGTTATGCCTGGCTTCTTTCCAATAGTGACCTGATAAACAGAAGCTCTTCCTTCACATGCCCTGCCACACCCACAGGATAAACCCTATCAAACAATTCCAGGAGTGTTCAGCCTGGGTACAGAACAAGACCAGGGAACTTCAAAGTTTGTTCTGCTCCATTCACAGCAGCTTGTGCTCTCCTCAAGYCCTCTTCTTGTTGCTTCTCTTTTCCAAGTACCAGCAGCCCAAATGCGCCGCTTGCTAGCAAACACTTGGAGATGCACATAGGCTTTCCATTATAAAACAGAGTACATTAAACACTATGCTCAAATAAATATTTTAACTGAGGGCTCATTAACACTTCAGTAAATTTAGAGAGAAATTAATAAAATGCACCTAAATGAAGAGTGAGTGTATACAACACAGTAGAGCTAGAAAAGGAGAACAAGAGCTACACAGCTTACATTTATTTAAGCAGTGAGACTGAGAAGTATGACAAGGGTTTTGGCAAAATACCTTGGAAACCACTTTGCATGCTCAATCCATGGATTATCTCCTGATTCCCAGCACCTTAATCCACCATCACAGCAAAAACACTTGACATCATCATTGCGCCCTTTTGGGGGGGGAGAGGGGGAGGGAGGAGAAAAAAAAGAAAGAGTGAAATATCTAGCAAACTTTTACAGAAGTTACTTTAAAAAAAATATATATTGACAAATCAATATGAATTGTATCAGAGGTCAGTTTTTCTTACCTACATAGTAAAAACCAGCATCTGCAAGCTGCTTAGGCTGAACTGGAATTCTAGCTGGCCAGTTTATGAATGTTTTAACACGTGCTTCATGGGTCTGCATGCTCACGTTGGAAACATTGAAGTTTAGTTGATCTCGAGAAAGACTTTCCACAAATGGGCACTTAGGAAAGTGTCTCCGATGCTCTGACAGAGCATTATCTTTTGGTTCCCAGTTATTCAGTTGACCACCACAGGTAAAACAAGCAACCTTATCTGCTGTCCCCAGGTAATAAAATCCAGCCTTTGCCAGATCAGCTGGTGAGAGAAACGTCAGGGGCCATGAGTGAAAAGTGCGTAGTCTGACATCTTCTGCACTCATGGAAGGGTTGTGAAGCTTCGATCTCAAACATGACAGGTCTTCAACAGCCCTGGTGGTTATGGGGTCTTGAGGAAAGCTAGAAAACGAACCACTGAAATAGCCAACTTGCTCCAAGCTTGGAGTAAAGTTGAGGGAATGAAGAGGGGGTGAGAAATTGCTTGTGACCAGAGGTGAAAATGCAGAACGAGAGGAGAGTCCGAGATTGTTCACTGAGAGCACGTTCTGAACAAAGCTGCAGCTGGCACCAGAGAGCCTGTGCCTTTCCAGAGCGTTATCTCCTGGCTGCCAGTCAGCCAACACTAAACCACAGGAGAAGCATTTAACTACATCTTTCACACCAGTGTAATAAAAGCCGGCCCGGGCAAGGCTCCGTTCTGACACTGGCACATTAATGGGGAAAGTGGAAAACGTGGACATTCGGTAGAGCTCACAGGATAAGTCGTACTTGAGTTCATCACACAGGGTGCTGTGCTTCATCATGTAAGCCAAGAAAGGGCTATCTTCCATTACGTTCATAATGGATTCTTTGGGGAAGAATGGGACGAGTCTTCCTCTGGGAGGTAGTTGTGTGCATGAAAGGTCATTCTGAACAACCCCTGCCTATACAAAAGCAACAACCTGAAAGTATTTTGATGTGTAGGTTCAAACACACATGTGCACAGGATGAGTTGCATTATTAACAGCTTTCAAACACTAAGTTCTCACCTGATTTCAGTGCAAAAGCCACTTCCAATTCCTCAGGATGTACAGAGAGCACATTCAAAAGGACTTGCTCAATTAACCATCAAAGGCTTTCCTTGCACTGTACATCTGTGAGAACAGTGTCAATGAGCTGAGCTGGTAGAGGGGGGGGTCCAGAATGAAAAAACCTCAAGGAGGTTTGTCAAAATCCTTCATCAATAAAGAAACTAAAACAGGGGCAACCAAATTGACAATTTTAACTAGAGCACACTCATTTAAAAACTGTTTTAGAGATCTGGTAAATACACAGCTCATACCTGTAAAGACTTTAGTTCATAAACCTCATTGGGAGTTTGAAAATAAATGCTTCTCAAGCTCAAACAGCATTAAGAAAAATCTCCCATCTGATATAGCTGCTAATAGGTTGCCAAGAAATCTTGATTTCTGCATATTACTACATGCAGAATAAAGATTACAAAATCTGCTTATCCTCAACCCTGTATACATCAATGATTCAGCTACAAGATAAATAAATCCTGTAAACCATCACTGACAAAGATGGGCTGTCTTAAGCAAGAGGCCTGGAATAGCCCCAGGCTCCTCTCTATGGCATTCTCAGCACAGATCAAGCTGACCATTTCAGTTTTAGCCTGGTGTCTTAATTACAAGTATAAAGTTATCATATTTAACAGAAATAAATAGATTTGTATCAGGACCTTTTAATGTTCTATACTGATTATTTAACTTAATGTACGCCATTGTGGATTTAGAGAGTGAACAGTTTGCAGATATAACGACTCTTAGTATTTTAGTTTCTTTATTTGTGCACAAAACTACCTCCCAGAGTTCAGACTGAAGTCCCTTCTGAGGGGTCTACACCTCCATATCTGCTCTTGGCTCTTCACAAGGAGAAATTTTAAGTATCTGCAGTTTCAATCGTATAATTCCTTTGGGTTGAACACAACCTGTAAGGAAGAAGGAAAAAAAAATGTTTCAAAATGCACAGCAGAAGCATATATGACCACTATAATAAAAATGCAGAAATTGAAACACTAAACTTGCAATTCTTTTTTTTTTTTTTTAATAGCTATAAAGTTTCATGGAACAAGCTTTACACACCTCCTTATGCAGTGGAATTACTTATTTCACTTACACCTACAGCAAGGCACAAACTGAAGCGTTTGATGTATGAATCAGGCTGCCTGTTCTCAAGCTGCACCAAGGTAATTAAAGGTAAGTGAAATTATACAAAGTTACAACCCTTTCCATTCCATCTTCGCTTAAAGCRAAGCTTAAAGCGATTTAAGCTTACTTGAATCAAAGCCACTGAAATGTCTTATTTTGTCAACTCCAGCAATACTCAAATTGTRCAGGACACCAGTGGAACTCTGACCTTGTTCAAAGTTCATCAATAAAGGGGSTTTTTTGAAGCAGTGGATTCTGCACAGTCTGCTTCTCTAAAGCTCTCCCTGGTAAGACTCAAAACCAGCTTATGTCTCATAACCCAAGAAATAAAATCACCTCTAGAGAAAACAGAGCATCTCCTACTCATTTCAACAGCTCTCAGCAATCGACACTTTAAATACAGTCATACTGCTACTGCTTTTTCAAGCACTGCTATAAAAAAAAATATATATATATATTACAATCTAAATCAAATGACTAAACCAGTCTTAACACAGCTGTTAAGTCGGGGGTGCCATCCAAATTAATCCAAGAACTGAAGTCAGTATACAARGTAGTCAAAAAACAAATCTCTAAAGTAAAATGCTAGAAAAGTCACAGCAAACAGAGATCCCGAGAAGCCCCGAAGTAGTAGGACGGCTTAAACCTGACGTCGTGGGACCACCTCGATGCCCAAAGGCTGCGAGTCTTAACCGCTGCTACGACACCAAGTGCCTTGGATACCCACAGAGACACGCGGCCCTTGGCACAGGGAGGGTAGCGGACAAACGCAGTGCGATTCAGCGACCCCGCGCAGCTTCTCCAACGGCGGAAAGCGGCGTTTAGCCCAGAAAGCCGCGCTCAGCCCTGCAAAGCGCCCACGCCGCCAGCCCCGGCGCTGCAGGGCCGGCCGGCCCGCGGCGGAGCGGCCGCCGGGCCCCCTCTCCCTCGCCACGACCCCCGCCCGCCGCGGGGCCCCGCGCACTCACGCTCCGCACACGCAGCAACACCCAGCGCCGCGGCCGCGCGCCCCCGCCGCGCTATATAGGGCGGCGGGCGGGGGGTGCGCGGGGCCCGGCGGGCGCCGCCCCCGGCACCGTCACCTGCGGCCTCCCCGGCCGCCGGCGGCGCATGCGCGGAGCGGCGCGGGGGCGGTGCCCGACGCTGCCGCCACGCCCCGCAGCCGACGTTAACGGTCGCGGCCGTTAACGGTCGCTGTGCCCCTCGTTCCTTGCATGGGGACACGCGGGCAAGCTCGGGGGGGGAGGGGGTCTCCCGAGGGTCTTTTCCTTTCGCTTTTCAGTCAGCTCTGGGGTTTCTAGCGAGCGACTTTTGACGTGGGGTGGATTTTTTTTTTTTCCTGTGCTTGGCCCAGCTGCCCTCTTGCTCATCAGGGAACGTTAGGTGCTTTCCTGCAGGCGGGGGAAACCCGCGCGGGTTTCCCCGCGCCCGCGTGGTTGAATTCCGGCGGCGCCGCTTCCTGCCGCCGGCGCCGAGCTCTGCCTCGGCCCGGGCCACCCCGCAGGCTCAGAGAGCTCCGTTTTCCCAGCAGTGACTCCTCAAACGTCTCCTCTTTCCCCCGAGGAAAGAATGAGGAATGTGGGGGGAAAACACTTGGTGCAGGACAACCTTCATGCTCAGAGCTGCCCCAGCAGAAGTCTGTCACAGGTGGAGCCCCTCGGTAGGATTTGGGTTTGCTACCTCCCTGCCTTGGGCAAAGAGGTGAAGCAACCAGGACTTGAATCCACACAGCAGTATAACCTTTTCTCCTTAGTGCTGGCATAAGAGGCAGGTTACATAATTGTGTTTCCTTTTCCTGTTTGTGCTGTAGTGTGCGAGAGGAGGGCATGGTGACTAATTAAAGATTTGGATCATTACAATGACAGCCAAAAGTGAATGTGAATTCCACTGGAATGATTTAAGGCATTTTCTGCACATACAGAAATCTGAAAAACTTCCACAGAGGTTACCAGAATGCTGCCTGCGGTTACAAATGTCATGGCATAATCACAATTTCACTTTGCCTATTCAGAAAAAGAGCAAATGCAGAGTGAAAAAGCCCCACTTTATGCATATACAGGGATGTAGTGATGCAGGGTGTTTACACAACTGCAGAGTGAGCATTGAAAATGAAGGAAGTGCAACAAAACAGCACATTACGACACTAGTGGGTAATTTTTTTGTTACAGACAGTTCCAGTAAAGGGAATTACAGAAGACTCATTCATACATACTCCAAAATTCTTTCAGATTTCCTGCCATATATGATGCCATTGGTCATCTGCCAAATTTCAGACATCTAACTGCAATGAGATAGCACTATAACACCATTTAACTTGGCTTTGCCTAATTGTCAACATAGGGAAAAAAAAAAAAAAAAGATGTTTTGGGAGTTAATGGACATAGACAAACTTTTTCTAAAAGTTGGAAAACGTTACCAAATCAGTGATGAGTTGTTTTAAGGATGTCTCTGATATGGAGAAGGCAACACTAAAAGTTTAAGYATTGATTCAGATCCAAAATACCAGACCTGAAGAGTTTTGGAGTGTGAAACGGAGTTCCCTGGACTTAGTCCTATTGAACATTACATAGGGAAGTGAATTTTATATATGTGTCTGTGGATTTAATTGCAGTCAAACATTCAGCTTTCACTGAGCCAGGTGATAAAGTTCYTAGCTTCCGGGTCTCAAGCGGGAATCTCCAAAGAAAATTACATTATAGATTATGAACTTTCTTGCTTTTTACTCTACATTCTCCCAAACTTAATTAATTCAGTGTTCCTCCTTAACTCAGTGGTTTCTCAATAGAGTTTCACTAGAAACAATAGATCCCTCCCTTCTTCACTCCACCCCTAGCCATGTATCTGCCTTTTGCCCCTTCTACACTTTGACCTCCTCCCAGTTTGGCAATACAAGCTGCTCGTTCCTCCCCTCCTAGGCCTCCAGGCAAGCAGTTTCAGGCCACTTCATGTTGCAAGGAGGAAGAGAGAAGGAACAAAAAGGGGGCTAAAATGCTTAGAATAGCAGGAAAAGGAATGTAGCTTCCCTGAACTACCAGGCTCTTTCTGGCTCCTTCATAAAGCAGTTTCCCCAGTTCTCTATTCCCAATAGTGACTTTATCTTTCATAGGAAAGAGATACCAGGAACTTAGGACCATCCATCATTGCTGCTTTCTCAGACAGCCATGAAGTAAAACGATAACTAAAGGTTTATTCTTGGACATAATGGAAATTCCCAAGGATAATGCATTTCCTTCAGTATCCCGAGTCTGACTTCCACATGGAACTAAAATAGTTCTTTAGAGGGGGAAGAGAGGTTATGTTTTGGTCGTACCCAAGCTGAAGACAGAAGGAAGATGCTTTGGCTTGGATTCTCACACTGTGGTCAGACTGTGCTGTGGGCATGATCCCTCCCGTTCAGCTATATCAAGTTTCAAGGTGGTTAACCTGAAAAAAAAATGTGGACTTTGTAAGCTAGGACAAAACACTGTACTTGGCAGAACCTTTGCTCTGGAAAGCGGGGTGAGATGATATTCAGATGAAGTTCTTAGCTAAAGGAGACTTTGCTTTCTTAGAGTCCTATACAATCACAGAAGTCACCGTGTTTAACAGTGTGACTACCATTGTTAGTGTTTATGACAATAAACTTAATGGCACTATTCACTGAAACAGCAAAGGTGATAGAGCAAATTTCAGGTTTATGTGAAACATAAAACTTCATGTCAAACATAAGCCTTCAGATCCTGCAGCAGGAGTACCAATAATAAACAGACAGCACTGATAACTGAAAGTGTCTGAAACAGGTTATTTTCTCCTAAGAAAACCTTGTTTGAGCTGTAAAGACAAAAAGATCTCACTACAGATAGGATTTCCAGTGTGCTTTGCCTCAAGTGAGAGGTATGCCCTATAGTGTACCATTTTGTGAGGCCCAGGAACAGAAGGGACAAAAGATAAAATTGCTGATCTTCTATTCCACTTCAGTCTTTGAATAGTCTGGTTCAGTTTGTGAAGTCTCCTTTGGAGATCTTCCAAACCTGCCTGGATGCGACCTTGTGCCACATGATCTAGGTGTCCCTGCTTGAGCAGGGGGKTTGGACTAGGTGATCTCTAGAGGTCCCTTCCAACCTCAGCTATTCCGGTTCTCTGATTCTGTGAAACAGCTGCATATCCAGAAGTCTTCTCCAAGGGGCTTGATGAGGGTCAGTCCCCCTATCCTGTAATCCTCTGATGCCCTCTCCAGTTTGTCATCTTCCACAATAATTGAACACCCAGCTCTAACAGCACCTCTGTAACACACCCCTAAATGTCTCTGAACGAGAGAGAAGGGCAAAGGATACTGCCTTGCCCATGGGTACTCCCTTACCCTTCTCTGTTGTGCAGTAAGTAGGTTCTTGTTCTTTCCAGATCTTGATAAGAAAGAATGGCCAATACAACCTCTAAGTTTAATACAATGTTCAGTCAGACTATTCAAAGATTGAAGTAGACTAGTAACTTAAAGTACATATTAACACCACCTACTAAATGTAAAAACAAAGCTAGCTGCAAAAGCAGAGTAATTCTGACAACATCTTGCTGGCACGAGATCAGATAACTTTCTGATAATTTGTGCAGATGTACACTACACTTTGTTCTGACTACCAACAGCAACAGAGCATCTGTGTGTAGACTACCAATATCTTCAATTTCCATTTTTAATRAGACTTCTGTAATTACAAAATCATTGCAGAATGGCAAAATCAATGATATCAAACATATCATTGTATCAAGGCATTAAGGGCACCCATGACTCATTGTCATAAATTTTCAAGAAAAAAAGAGTACATCTTGCTGCTTTCTTACTGAAGGTCAGTACGTTTGCAACGTGGAAAGTTTCCTTCAACTTTGTCCTCAGATAAGACTGTTGCCTTACACCTCCTACGCAAAGGATGACAAGGACAAATGTTAAAGTTTACCTGAATCTGTTTTGGGTTTTCTTTTCTCACATTTAGTGGTCAGAAAAACTCTCCAATAAGACACAATAAGCCTCAAGAGTATATCAAAGCTGTACTGAGTAAGCTGAGGCTTTTGTATCAGTCAGGACCTTTCCTGCATTGTTATTTRTTTGGAGGTTAAAAAAGAGTTGGAATGAACTGCAGGAAAATCTTAGCAAATGTTCAGTTCGCATTTTAGATTTGACTATCTGCTTGATTTTGCAAGTTTCCATTTCTGCTTCACAGAAGACAATTTTGTTTTGCTGATGAGGTAGTAAACACTATATTCAGAAGGGGTGAGGAACATAACAAATACCAGAACAAAGATGACTGGAGTAAAATAAGCCACATCAAGCAGGAAGAAGATCRCATATATATTACAGAAATCAAAAGGCCACTATTCAGCTGCATCATCTTGTTTAAATTACAGAATCACRGAATGGTTGAGGTTGGAAGTGACCTCTAGAGATCATCTAGTCCAACCTCCCTGCTACAGCAGGGACATGTAGAGCACAGGGTCCCATCCAAACAGATTTTGTAGATCTCCAGAGAAGGAGACTCCACAACCTCCCTGGGCAGCCTCTTCCAGGGCTCTGGCACCCTCACAGTCAAGAAGTTCTTCCTCACATGCAGATGGAACTTCCTATGTTGCAACTTAAACCCATTTCCCCTTGTCCTGTCCCTGGCCACCACCAAAGAGACTTTGGCCCCATGCTCCCTCCATTCTCCTCTCAGATACTTATTACATATTGATCAGATCTCCTCTCAGTCTTCCCTTCTCCAGGCTGAACAGACCCAGCTCACTTAGTCTTTCCTCATAAGATAGCTACTCCAGTCCCTTAACCATCTTTGTTGCCCTCCATTGGACCCTCTCTAGAAGCTCCACATCCCTCTTAT